TACACTTTACACTTTTCAAGATCTCTTGGTGGATAGCAGGTATACCATGCCACTAATGACGTGGATCCCAAGGGATGATGGTCGTTTCATTAAGAGGAGAATATACTGGAATTCGTATAGCACGCAGAGCTCATAGCGGACAATGTGACGCAACGTAAGGTAACCTCTACATACATCTCATGACGGTCTACGTGGATCTGGAACATGTGTGATATGTGGAGAACTGTGTTCGTGTCATCCAACGTACAGCATCGGCGTATAATCTTAGATTAATCTAAACTATCGCTGCATACGGAGAAAAGCACAATATGGTACCTACAGGTAGATTAGATAGCCTATCATAAGACATCATTGGAAAGGAAGGTCACAGATGATCTTCAAAGGCCAGGCTTACGATAGTACTGTGTATAGGCCGATTCTTTCCACTTAGGGGACCCCACGGCGAGAATTTATACCTACCCACGAGACATTGTGATGATGTTCCCTATTTGATTTTCCGCCAGCTCGTATAAGGCTTACTTCTTGGTTTTTGGGTTTACCCGAGGATATTGTATCTACCGGGGGGGGGGGGGGGGGCGGTGGTTAAACCAAGGAAGGGGAAGAGTGGTACGCTAGCAAGAAGATCATCTGGGGAGCCCATACTATAAACAGCTGCGTAAGTACTCTGTACATACATACTCCGTACATGCGGATGTGAATAAATATATGTACGTACATACGTGCTAGTCCAGTACCAGGAAATGCACGACAGAACTACGGAGTAGAAAAGGAAGAAAGGAGATGTGTATAGGGAAAATATCCCGCAAACAAAATATTGTCCCCTGAGGGTCTTTCACTTGAGTAGCGGGTAATGACTGGAATCTCGACGAGACGAAAGTCTAATTCCCCAGAATGACTGGTCTATCAAAAGGATCTCAATCCTTTCAGTGGGGACGGATTACGACCCTTCATGGTCAAGATTCTACGATCCCGGTATAACCAAACCATGTTCTCCAGTCAAAGCTAGTTTGGTAGAAAGGTCGCTAAAAGCCGTCTGGGTACGATTCTTAGTCTCCACCGTCATGCATTTGCTCTTCCCACCCTTACGTAGCCCATCGCTAATATTGGGATCTACAACTCACCCCAGATAGGATTCAAAGCCTCATGGGTCTTTTTTTTTATTTTTTTATTTTTTTTTACCTCTCTTAGTAATCCTTGTCGGAAATAGCACAGGTATGGGTCTAAATGAGGATATGGTGTTGTATTAACTACCTGACTGGCTGCTGAACGATGTGGGTAGAATTGAAAGCCATGGGGATCGAGGAGAATGCGATGAAGGGTGGCTTCGGTGTCCAGCACGTTCACCGCAGCTGTAAACGCCATGCAGTGATCATCATATGTTTGATTGTTCTTCAATCACGACAATTGTGACCCCTCAGTAAGTGGACGGCCTTGACTCTAGATTGCACTTGTCTTCCTTCTCCCCATGCCCTCGGGTGGAAGTATCATCCGTCTGCTGGCATCTTGAAGTCAACCACGTGGGGGTTGAAGCTAAGGAGCTGATGTATCCGATGCGGCCTCTAAGAATGAATGAGAAATGGCTTCATTCCAACTCTCTCGGGATTTAAGTTTCAATTTGATTGCCAATTCCTGGGATCACACCATCGTACGGGGTACAGAGTTCCTAATGGTATCACAATCTGATCTCCAGTGTACATTGAAGCAGCCCTCAGATCTAGTACAAGGTAGCGAACATCTCCAGTCACGTATCAGTACCTAGTACCTAGTACATACATACGTACGTACGTACGTACGTACGTACACACGTATGTAGTAAGTACCTTCTAGCTTCTCGGCAATGACGGTAATAACCCAGCGGGACTATTTCGGGGGAGATAGAAATCTTACACGCCTCCCCAGGCGATACTTACTAGGTGAGAAGCATGCAATTACCTACTCGGTGGTCTTCTTCCTTCAAGTACTACTTGTACTTGCACATCCAATGAGGCATGAACATTCGGATGCACTCCGTATTGCTCTCTCGTTATTAAAGTGTATCCCTTGCTTATGATTGTCCTTTCTGCATTCTTAACTCTGTTTTCTGGGCTCTCCTCATCTAATTCGCCCACCGTCCTGTCGACGCCCTCCTATGTACCAGGTCGTTTGCCTACTATAGGTATGTACCAGGGTCTGCCTCAGTCCGTCGCTTCCACTGGGCTCTGACAGGCGCTTGTCAACCGTCCGTACCCTAGTGGTGGCGATCGTAATCGTAATACGGGAAAACTCTGGGCCTAAATTAGTTTCTGCTAGCTAGCCCGTAACCCAATCATACTTGAATTCTCCGTGGGTGGTACAACCGGAAGCTCCTAAAGAGAGGGTAGTACTGGGTAACCCAACCTTAGGGGAGAACACCGACGGGTAGTAACCTGGTACACCCGAAAAATAGCCCCTGTAAAAGATGGGGCATGAGATTAGAATTTCCTTTTGAGTTAGGGGTGCCGAGGACTTGTAGTACTACGGAGTACTACCGTACTAGAGTCTAGGGGAGGAGAAGGGGGGGAGCCAAAACCCTTTTATAGCTCACCTCCATAATTTATACCCACGGCTATCGGTCGCCCGGCTCCGGAAGCTTTCCTGATAAGGCGCCCATAACTTTGAACTACTATAGGATAGAGTACTAGTACTACTAACCATCTGCCAATACCCTAACCCTGGGGCGTTTCCCTTCTACACGCCCACCACTGGGACTTCCCATGAGGACCAAGAAGTCTGAGAGTGCGTAAATAATACCGATTAGTACTGTAGCATCAATAATGTGGGATCCCACCATGCAGGATACTAAACCATCCATAGCTAGCGGAAATTTTTCCAAGGAAAAGGCTGTACGCCCAGTCGGCAATGATTGGCCAAGCCTCTAATCTAGAGCCCAAGGCACAGGCAGCTGGAGTGGGGCTCTCCGTTCCCCTCTCCAAATAATCATGAGCGGAAGAGTGTTCAGTCGGTGGGCAACAAACCTCAGACTAGTCCATACCCCAGTCGTTATCGACAAGCCAGACCCAGACAAATGCCTGCCTGTCATTTTCTTTTCTTTTTTCTTTACTTCTTTTTTTTTTTTCTTTTTTCCCCTTTCACCTTTCTTTTCCTTTTGTTTTTATAGTAGGCATCTAATTCTACGGAGTAATATGTAGTACTACTTCCGAAAGGGTTTTCTTCGTTCTTAGCAATCTTAGTACCTTGAGAATGCCTAGAAATAGCGATCGTATTTCAACAGTATCCAAAAAAAAGACAACAACATCCTGATTATATTGCTACTCTAGCATACTAACTATTCTAGGCAGTAGTAGTAGTAGTAGTAGTCTCTAATAATCGGATCAATCCTCTCGATCAGTGTATTGTACATACATTTGTAAGCATATACTGATGTACAGTATACTCGTCCGAGGTGTCTAGCCTTGTTCCTTCGTCCGTTTTTATGTCTGGTAATGCTTTGTAAAACAAGTCCATATTGATATGTGAATGACCTGAAAAGACGTTAGGCTCAATCCTATCGAAGCATGCTCTTTCTGTCTTTTGATCCTTTTCACAGTTCTTTCAATTTGTATCTCCGTACGGTACGAAAGGTGTACACGAAGCGTAGGTAGGGACATGGATTCTCGAGGTACGTATCCATGGAGTATGCAGCCGTTTAAATTACAGAACGCAGAAAATCTCATTCACGAGAGGGAAGGATGAGGCAAAAAACAAAGGGAAAACCGAAAAAAAAAGGAGAGGTCGCCAGAGCCTAAGATTTTCCATACTGTCAGCTCCTATTTCTTTTTCTCTCTTCTTTTCTTTCCATTTTTACTTTTCAGGACCGAGAGTTACTGCCTCATTTCCTGTTCTCATCTTGTATTTTAATCCCGTTTCATCGGCTTCTTTGGCTTCGGTATCTCCTAGTTTGTTTTTACTTCTTCCAGTCGTTGTCTCCATACCGGACTAGAACGACATTTAGGACCAACGTTTGTCTGTATCACCGTCGCAGGACGACTCCACCGATCCCGACAGCTTATTATCGTGGATATTATTATTATTTTACCATATTTTTTTGAGGATTGTCTAAAGTTCCCTTTTGCTTTTTCTACCTTTTTTTCTCTTCCTTTTTTCCTTTTCCTTTTTCATTTTCTCTCTTTTCTCCTGTCGTCTGTCTGATCCGTGTCCCTGGTGTCTCCCAGTCTATATGTGATTACCGTCGTTATTATCGTGACCTCTTCTATGTTCAAGTACTTCTGCCTACCTGCCTTGATAATAGGTACAGGAAACCAAACTTACCAGTGGGTTGGTTCTAGTGCGACTTACTACTACTTCTTCCTATATTGCCGGGACTACTTATAATAATAATAATATTATTATTTATAAGTAATCAATTTATTATAATTATTATTATTATTATAAGTATTATGCTCCAGCCTCAAATCAGCGACTGCGGTTGCTTTTCCCAATTCGATCCATCGGCCTTCCTGTGACTCGTTGGCCAGAACCTCCCCCAGTCATCAAAAAAGCTGCTGCATGCCTTCTCGGATTTAATTTCTGTGACAGTCTCTCCACTTAATCGAGATTTGACTCCTCTCCCGGTCTTTCTCTTTCTCTTTTACGCCTCCCTTTCCGTCTCGCTTTTCGATCCACTAATTTTCCACTCCCGAGAAGCTGTTTTTATCTATCTACTCCATCGTCTCCATCTTCCTTCCGCCCCCCTCCTATGTTGTTGTCTATGTAGTTATTCGTTTGCATTTCATTTCATTTCAACGCCTTCGATGCTTTGATCTCGTTTGAATTTGGATTGTATTTCACACGCTCCCCCTTCCGCTTGATCCTCTTGTGCTATAACCCACCTTCAATTGTCTTGTTGTCCACTTAGATCTATCGTGGTTTGTTCATCTTGTCTCCCGGTATCCCCACCGCTGTCCGCTCCCCGCTGTCCCTATCAGTGGTTGTCCCGCATCTGAAGATAGCCTTGACTATCCACGCCTCAGACAGCTGCAGCTATGGCGCCCGGCAGTGGACGAGACTTCAGCTGCTCCTGGGAGCATTGTGGAAAGGTACTCTTTTTTTCCCAGCTCTTCCCGTCCCTCCCTTTGGCAAATAGTGACCCGATCGTACTGATATAAGTAGTCGTTCAATCGCAAGTCGGACCTTTGCCGACATTATCGCATACATACCAACGAACGGCCTTACCACTGTACAGTGAAAGATTGCAACAAGAGCTTTATTCAACGAAGTGCGTTGACTGTCCATTCGCGTACGCATACTGGGGAGAAACCCCATGTTTGTGATCATGAAGGATGCCACAAAGCATTTTCCGACGTACGTCTTAACCTTAAACTCCTGTTTGACTATGAGAGAAATGCTGACGCGGCACAGTCCTCAAGTTTAGCCCGCCACCGGAGGATTCACACGGGAAAGCGGCCGTATATCTGTCAGGAGCCAACTTGCGAACGAAGGTAGAATCTCATCTTGCCCCGTTCAAAATAGCACGAGCGCTAATAACTCCATATAGCTTTTGTCGTAAAACGACACTCACTAAGCACCAGCACCGTTCACACCCTCCCGGCACAGTAACTCGCCCTCCATCCGAGGATGCGACTTCCGAACATTCCTACCAGACACCCGTCCCCGCCTCAGCTCCAAACGATCAATATCTCCTTGCTCAACAGCCTTACTACCCCCACGCGCAAACTCCATCCCATGATTTCTATCCACCACCGAGTCTCCCAATGACGCCTGTTCCTGTGCAAGATGCGCCGCCGATTGTAACTCAAAGTGTACCGGTAACGTCACCCGTCGATGTGCATCAAGCGCAACAGCAATACATGCAACTCATGCAACAACGGTACGACCCAAGCCGTCAGGGGTACAGTATTCCCCCGGAATTCCAGCAACCCTTTCCCGGTGTTCCCGCTGTGGAAGGCCACCCGCTGATGGTCACCTATCCACATAATTTTCAATACAAGCAACACCAGACACGCATTCTTAACCAACCCGAGGGAACCGACTGGGGCTTCTTGGGAGTGGGCTAAATAGTACTATGGGGACGTTCAAGCCACCAACGTAACCACTAGCCTCTTTTGCGGCCATCGTGCTCAACCCCTTGGGAGATCACCAAGATGAGACCAGCAGAACTTCTCGGTGTACTTTGATAGTGTTCCAGATTGGGAACCATCATACTAACTGTATCGTGTGATGCCTATAACGACAGACTTACGAGCGTTTCGACTTGGCCAGCTTGTTCAATTCATTTTCCCATATACGCGTTGATTTTCTGCTATATTTCTTTTTGTTTCCTTCTCTTTTTGTGCTACAATTCTTGTGACCGATGATATCACTGCTTGTTTCTGCTTCCATTCCTTGCAGCCTCTGCGACTTTTTGGATTGATTCCCCCTGTTTAAAAGGCTAGGGTGAGGCGTTTGTGATACTTAATACCTAAGATGATCTCTTGGCAATCTTTGTGATACGTGTTAGTCTACATTATCAATTTTGATGTGAACAGGACCTGGAGATTTCGCCCCTTGTCGGCGGAGATGGAGATGGGTCTGGGTGTATTTACTGAGGTCTAACTAATTCGAGAACTCTCTCTTCTGGACGAGGATCTGATATGTGCCTAAGGCAGCAGTCGGGAACCCCACCTGCCATTGCGTGCTTTGCCCTTTTACACCCAACTACCAGTACCAGCTAACTAACTATCGACCAAACGTGCTGAAGCCTGAAGCCTGAAGCACGATACAGAAGTAAATTCCTACCAGTCAGTGGCTAGTGGGGGTTTCATTTTATTGGGATGACTGATAGTAATCCGATACTCGCTCAGTTAGTCCCATTCGCTGCCAACGTCAGCCAAGGATCGACAGTCGGAACGGTCGGTGACTCCACTCAGATAGCGTGTGAAGGCAGGTCCATTCAGGTCTCCGAACATCTTGACATGTATAGAACTAGCGCGAGCTAGTGCTCCTGGACGAAAGGCCGTCAAACTTCTTGAACAACACACTATTCGATGCCACCGCCACCTGCATGTCGAAGAACGATCGACCCTACATACCTGCACCGTTAACCGGTTTTCCCTTTGGTCAGGCCACAACTACAGAATGTATAGAACCATCCCTGGAAAATACTAGGGGGGCAACCGTCAGAAAGCGAGCAATCAGATCATCATGGATAAAGGTTCCGAGGCAGGAACCTTGGTTTCCGAGCGGCTATTCCACCTTCTAACTACTATTTTGGTCCGGCTCTACCCACTCATTCGATCAGGGGAGATGACTAAGGCGGGTCAGGTTTCGTTAGTGAGTCCCTGCGAAATTACCGAGGACAGAGAGGTCTCCATCTGTTACAGCAGAACAACACCTCCGACTTGAGTCGGGGCCACTTAGTCCCTGCACTAAGTCGCTGGTCCCGATATCCTCCTTTTAGTACTCCGTAGTTGAGCTTTGGTACCGAGATGAAGCAGCTAATAGCACACTAACCCACTAGCTATCGGGGATTACACCGGGATCTAGCAGCCATGAGTGCATTGGATGACGACGACGACAAGAATCCCTGGTCATCACAAGATGAATGCCTTTGTTAGGCTTATGCCCTCAACCTTGGCGTGTCGACTGCGGGGTTGATACATCTACTCTTTCACCCTGCTTTTGATAATCCGCCGTGGATTACTTATCCGTGGGTACAACACGATACAATACAGACTTTCCCAAGTAGATATGGACGCAGTCTACTCCGTATGGTGAATCTATACTCCAGATGCACACACACACACACACTCTCTCTCTCTCTCTCTCGGACATGGTTTATCCGAACACGAAAGTGATCTATGTCGAATACAAGGGTCCCCATACCACCCTCCCGAACCGAAACATCACCAAACCCACAGAAAAGATAGTATACAAACCCGTTCGCACGAATTCCCGGGTTTCCACGGAGCAACACAATCCGTCTCCCGCGCATGGTACTCAGGGGTAGCTAAGTGACCAAGAAAGGGTCACTGGTCATATCATATTTTCTCCTCAAGAAAAGAAAACAAGTAGCCAAGGAGCTTGGACCAAGGAGTTTGAGGTAGAAACCGTACCACTACTACGACTACCATCTACGACGAGAGGACAGGACATACAGTGGCCGGTGCAGAATAGACTTCAAGGGAACCCTCGCATAATCCACCCTGTTCCATGGTACCAACATCATCACTTACCTATTCTGAATTTGACGTTCCCTACTGGAATGGTAAGGTTTCCCAACAGTTTGGACGCCCGTAGAAAATTCCCTAACCACCTGTAGTTGCTTCCTCATTGGGACTTTTCGCCCCATGGAATGCATACTGCGGGTGGTTCATGTTTGGTTGCCTTTTTTTTTGCCTCCCACGGTCTTCGTTTGGGATGTACTGTACGGGGCTGTATCATACAGTCAGGGTTCACCGGGGGATGGATCAGCCATTGATTCTGTCTTTGAAGTATATCAAGACATGGATATACTATACCTCCCAGACTTTAAAACCAGCGCGAGCATGTTATCAATTCCCAACAACTATACTATTTCCCCCACTGACACAGAGAGCATAACGAACAATATTTTCAACCTCCCGTCTGCAGTCCAGTTTGACAGTCTAAAGAGAATCAGATCCTATTCTTCTTTCGGTGTCACTAACGACGAGCATCCGGATGATCTCCCTATCTAGACCAGTCTATCAGACAGTGGAGCACCAAATCCATTGACAGACGCGCGGGAAACCAGCCAGAATGCTGCCCATCGGGGAATTAGCGGCTCATTTTAGCTGTGGGGCTGGTGGCGGTGTCTTCCTCTCTCTGGGGTGAAGTCTGATTGTGTCTGTGTGGGTGTGGGTGTGGGTGTGCAGAGAGCATACGCATCTATGTTAAGCTGACCGTGATTTTTTCCAGTAGCATGTCGTACCTATATAAGAGAAGCATATTGGTATACGGGTGTATGTGTAGTGCATGCTACCTACCACATGAGATATGGGTCGTCAACCAATGGAAGTCACCGAGATGCAACGAATACATCACAAATCAACTTCAACATCCATACGCATGGAAGAATCCAATAAGGTTGACCGGAATAAACTCTCTCATGGGTCAAAAGCTTCCAATATGATACAGTCAGTCAAGCACACCGAAACAACTGTTGCTTTTCCCAGTCTAGTGGAAACGACCATGGACAATAATGGCCTACATGCTAGACTCACACCATCCGTGGATAGTCATTGTCGTCCAAGTTTCATTTCTATTTCCCTCTGTGGGCTGGAAATGAAATGGAAGATCAACACCGACAAAGTGGGTCAAGAACCCAACCAGTTCGTGTCTCCCGACCAATAATGGAGGGCCCACTGGAGTGCAAAGGCAAAGCCTTCAAAGGGGTTGTTGTTGTTGTTATTGCTGTTTCTCCTGGTATCTCCGGGAGTGGATCCTTTACGTACGGCGTACCAGTGCCGTAGTATTCCAGCGTTCTTGGGACTAATTTAGTAGTACTACCCTAGGTGAGCCTAGTTCGATGTTCTACGACTTTGAATCTGTACAGCACACCCGTCCATGTCCACACCTGCCACACTTTCTAGATTGGGATAATTTTGGGAGGATTGACACTTGGTCTTAGGTAAGAAGGTGCGAACAACTGGCCAATCAAAAAGGAAGTATTAGTCATTTCTCTTGGTCCTCTCGTGTTCATCATCTTTGCTCATTAATCTTCATCCTCGGTAGTTATCCATTCCGATACGCCGGATTCTCTGCCTCGAATAGAAATTCCTAAGATCAATGTCCAACATGCGCATATCTATCCATAAAGCCCCATTATTTGTAGGCACATGGAGATTCAGTCCCTGACTAACATGAAGTACTACGGAGTACATCTATTCAAAGAACCCGAACGATCACTATACTACTTCGGGAAATTTTAAACGAAAGCATTATACATTCTGGGGCGAATGTCAATGGCATACTTGTGGATGACAGACTCAAATACTAGTCTCCGCCGCATCGCTTTTATGGACGATGCGGCTTGCCATGGACCATTTTCCTGATGTGGCAGGTAAATAATTATACCACGACTCCGGAGGGTGGCACTAGCATGTCGTTCTATCATCTCGTATGAGTCTTGGACCCTTCGCGAACGGGATGGCATAGGGAGGGATTATCCAGATAGTAACACGTCTAGATTCAAGCGGGTATAATCTGTACCAGGCAATGGGTCAAGGGCCGGCACCTCGTTTAGTTTCTAAAGCAAACAACTCGATGGACTGACATCTTGTGTCTAGACTTCGTTAGGTTTTAGCGGATTAACGAATCTCGATTTCCACTTCATTTCATACGAACATAACACCGAGAATCTCCGTTGATCCGTTGCCTGCCCCATGTCTCTGCTTGTCATAGTCGTCGAACAGGAATTGCCCAATAGGCATGGAGAACTAGGGTACTCCCGACATGGCGACTATTGCGATCGGTACATGATGGCCCTCCAACTGAAAACGAATCGCGATAAACGCATAACAGCTACACTACGATACATGGACAGATTCCTAGCAAACCAAGCCATATATATTCTAAAGACCAGATACAAATTACATACTATGGGCCTTGGAGATCCATGCTTGTGACTCAGGTATTGAACTATCTGATCAAAAAGAAAGGACAACGTCTAGTTTTCTGTTCTTACAAGCCCTTTCCCTGTCCTTTGTCTCCTGGCGCGTCTGTTTAGCTTCTGTGGTGATTGTCGATCTGGTTTTCCTGGGATCCCTCTACTTTATTCATCATTTCAGGGATAATGCACATTGTCAGGAGCTGTTTCTCATGGGTATGAGGGATCCAATGATGGTTGTTCTTTCACTAAACGGAACTTTTGTTTTTGATTGAGTGAAGGTTCATTTGCCCCATTGGCTAAGACTGCGACTGAAAGGGATTTGGTTATACCAGGGCTTTCTCTAGTGTCATCGTCGCCTTGGGTGCTCCGGGATAAATGACTTCGGTGTGATGATTCCTTGGCTCTATTTACTTATCCTAGAATGCTAACGTTCGTAGTCAGGGTAACATTGTACTGAAGTATATGCAGCGCAATAAGTACATAATCTCTTTATCGAGATCATTTGTACTGATTCACAACAGTTTACAATATCGAATGGCATACCTCCATGAACTGACTCCCCGCTAAATGAATACATAACTCTATTCATATACCGTACATCTAGCATCACATGTTTATATCCATACTCATAACCCGGTGTATATATATACTGTACTGGAAGTCCACCAGCCAAAACCAAAGCCAACGAAATTACCAACGAAATTACCAACTCATCACCCCCCGTTCCCGATCAAAGCCTCCCCTAATCTGCTCCGGCTTTACCACCTTCCCCTTCAACACTGTATACCGGACAATATTCTCACAGTCCTCTGGACGAACGCGCGCCAGCCAGATACCCTGCGCCGCACCTTCTTCTCCCTCCGCTGATGTCTCCTCTTCACTGTCCTGCTTGCGGTACCACTCAAAATCGCGACGGCGGTACACAATCACATTCGCAGATACTTGTGACCCCCAACGTGGCTGATGAAGTAGATGCCGACACCGCCGGGTCGCCCGTCATCAAGATCGCGGTACAATCCTAGCGGGCGCAAGTGGCGCTCGAATTCTTTGCGGAGAAGCGGCGCAGACTGGCCGCAGCGGGCGTCCCGCGTGCGCTGGGAACAGAGAAGGATCACCGCGGCGTGGGGACAGGGACGCGAGCGGAGGGGTGTCTGCGATAGGAGGTCTGAGATGGGTGGCTGTTGTGGTTGGTCCTCTGATGTGGGTGCGGATACCGGCTCCGGGACAGCCCCCAGGGGCGTAGTGGTCGTGGGCGCGGGATTGACAATGTACTTGATCAGGTCAGGGGCCAGGGCTGGCGTGACGTGGTCGATGATGGTGAAGCTGGGTAGGAGCAGGACAGTTGTTGGTTGTTTTCCTGAGTCGTGGTGGTGGTATTCATCCGGAACGGGCATGTTGGAGGCCGATAGCTTCAAGTTCTGATATTGCTGCTCATTAGTATTATACTACATATTAGGTTCAAATGGTAGTAGCCGATCGAGACTTACCCCGTTACTGGGCTCCAGCCCCCCCTTCTCAATCGCTTCCATCACACTGCCCTGTTCGTCCGCTACATCACGTACCCAGTCTGTTTTCCCGGTCGCGACGAGCAGGTGTGTCGACCATCCGTTGACGTTTCCGTACAGGGTATCTTCCTGGTCCACATCGAACTTAGCCGGGTACCGAACGGTACATGAAGCGCAGTCGTGGAGACATTCTTCTCCGTCAATGGCGGGGTCGACCTTGGTGAATAGCTTGTCGGGGCTTGAAGCTGTTCGGAAGTCTTCAGCAGCCCCGGAGTCTTTGGGGGACCCGGATGGTGTTGAGAAGAGAGATGTGCCGCGTCGCCAGAGAGCCTGCATTGTGTGGGGGAAGATATGGGGAAAAGAAGGGGGGAGGGGAAAGAAAAAATCAAAGCTGGGCGTGACACAGTTGCCATTTTGGAAAAGTAGATCTTATCAATCACCAACGCCAAGGACGGAATCCTTTCCGATCTGCACCGTTAGGCTGCCAATAGCGCCTGGCCTGATTGGTTGGCCATTATCAATCTTCTCTCCAGATCAGGTCATTCGCATGGAACTGGAGATATTAGTAACTATTATTCATAGCACCGGGAGAAAGACGAGGCTAACGGTATACATTATACATTGATTTGTGTTGTTTCTCTCTTTTCATTTTCAATAAAAGGAAAGTACGGTTTCATTCTTGTAATCCAATTGGGCTATCCCAAAAACTTTCACGTTCTATTAAAATTAATCGCGTAGGGCAAATCAGATGGCCCATGGGTATCTACCAAACGAATGACGCTCCCTGCCGAACTTCCCGATGCATTCGACTGTACCCGCCTAAGCGATCGTATTGATGGCGTTCGGGGCGTCGCCAGCCGATGCCGGTCCACGTTTCTCGACCAAACAGGGGACCTATGGTTCTGCGTTCCTGATGCAGTAGTGTAGGTGGAACGGCCTTCCCACGTCGATGCATTAGAAGGTTGTAAACTGTTGCTCCGGCCTCGCGAGAATGCCTCACTATCATCGCGGAAGTCCATCGTATCAGTCTCCCCTTCCTCGTCCGAAGGTCCAATGATAGACTCGCTATCGCCGTGGGAGCTTTCGGCGTAAATATCGTCCATAATGTGCATATCAAGCGACTTCATCCCCCTTAGCAACCCAGCAAATATTTGCATCAGATCCCGAAACTCCGCCTCGTGAAGCTCGTGCGGCGAGAACCGCGCGCGTTCGTATAGTGCGATGAACTCTGCTCCAATCTCGGGCGGTTTGATGACGTCCAAGCTAGTAAGGTGTTGCAAATATTCCCTCAGACCCATCGACACCGGTCGCCGTAAGATGTCTACCACTCGTGTGTCCGGGATGGATTGTTCAGCACCAGGGGACGAGGGGTCAAACGAGCGAGTCGCTGTCAAAAAGGGGTCAGGGGGAGCGAGAGAGACCGCTTTAGCTTCTATCAGGTTCGGAAGTTCTTGGATGACCGTTCGGTACGGCAGGTCGGGCAAATCGGGGGATGCAGGAGAAGACCATCCGGGGTGTGCTACAAGGCCCCACGGGGGGCGGTCGTGGTCTATCAAAAGCATGGGGTAGTCGGCAAAGGTATCGCCATCTGCAGCTGTGTCCCTTGGCCTAGCTTGATAAGCAACAATAGCGCTGCGAGCAAGCCCTTCAACCACCAGTCGTCTCACACTCTTTCCGACATCCTCCTTCTCTATTGGGATCCATGCTTTGGGGATTCCTGCTAAGGCGCTGCGATTGGTATAGATCCGCGTTGCGTATATCAGCGCCGCTAATATAAAAGTCACGATGTAGCCACCACTAATGATAAAGATATTCGTGAGTCGCGAGGTTACGTAGCACTGGTAGATCGCGTCGGCTGGGGTCAGCACTATAAGACAGAAGAGGACGATAGAGAGAACGATAAAGATAGTGTAATTGAGGATGCGATAGAGATTCCAGGCCATAATATCGAGCGCATCATATTGCGCATCGCAGCCTGAGCTCGTCGCTGCCCCGACCGTCCATGATCATGAAAGGAAGTACTTCAACTGGGGTCGCTGTGGCCGACCGAGAGGGGGGTCACGTGCAAGACGGAGTCCAACCAAATTAAGGGGCCACGGGGAGCCTTATACTTCCACTCCGTACGTGAAGCTCAAAAAGCATCGCCAATTTGATATGGGAGGGAGAGAAAGAATGACATGGGCTTGACATATGCCGTGACCTCTGTTCATAAAATACTAACTATAAATCTATATAAATATATATATGTGCATGGATCCACTCATGACTGCCCTTAGTCGTCAGCAATTGCTACCTCGTCCTCCCATTGCGCTTTGAGGGCCTCTCCACGAGCCCGGCGGATAACTCTTTCAATGCCGTCCAGACCCTTCTTAAGCACATCCATCTTAGGCCCGTAACTCAGACGGACGAAGTGATGGCAGGGGCTGTCGAACAGGTCTCGTCTCTTGGCAGGGTTCAGGTCGAAGAAAATACCAGGCACCACAATAACCTTCTCGGTCAGAAGGGCGTTGAAGAAGTTCAGACCGTCGGAGATGTTAGCTTCCGCGGGAAGAGGAGGGTCCAAGGCAGTCAGGTCAAGCCAAATGTAGAAGGTGGCCTGAGGAATATCCTTGATACGGAATCCAATCTCAGTCAAGCGCTTCACAACGAAGTCTCTCTTTTCACGGAAATGATGCTGAAGAGCCTTCATCTCTGCGCGTACAAGGGACGGCTCAAGCATGGGAATGGCAGCTTCCTGGAACGGCACGTTGGCACCTCCATCCAGGTAGGAACCAGCGGAACCCAAAGCGTCAACGAATTCTTTAGGGCCGACAATCCAGGCGATACGCCAACCAGGCAGGCGGAAACGCTTGGTGAGACCGTCGATGAGCAACACATCTGCCGGGGTTAGCACGAGATAATCATCTATAACTTCCGAGTGTTGGCCCACCGTCTTGGTTGACATCCTCCACATTCGTAGCACCACTGAGAGTCGTGCCGTCACAGTCGGTGGTGTAGTTGTAGCCTCCATAGAATTCATCCAAAATCAGCGTCGCGCGATCCCTGCAGATGTCTTGAATCCGTGCCAGCTCCTCGCTGGAGACAAAATGTCCGGTCGGGTTACGGGGGTTCGAGGTCAAGAGGACCTGGGTACCACGGGCAATTTCCTCGGCGATCTTGTCGGGGTGGATATGATAATGGTCGTTCTGGGAGAGGGGAATGGGAATAGGCGCGATCTAAAAGATGATTTGTGAGCTATCGCGACACGGATCAAAGACCATGCTTGTAGACTGCACTTCTCAAAAGTCTACTAGTGACTCTGCACATACATTCTTGAACAAAGTCAACATCTCCGAGTACGCAGAGTAGTCGGGAATGGGGAAGGAAAGGTACGAATTGCCCAGAATGGCTGCGATTCGAATCAAACCCGCGCGTCCACCGGGCACAATGCAGACATTTTCCCAAGTGTACTGGCTCTCTTTGCCCTGGCGGTAATGCTCATTGTACAACCGAGCGACAGCGGCGCGGAGGGGCTTGATACCGGCCGTGGGGCCGTACTCACGAGCAGCAGAGGTGATAGGAATGCTCGTCGGGCGGGGGAAACTGCCTTCGATCTCATCATCGGCTTCGGGGGCACCTTGGCCCAGATTCGCCCATTCGGCTGGATTTTCCGCATAACCGTGTTCTGTCGCACGTTCCGTACACCAGACGACACCGGTCGAGGCACGCGAGGCATCGAGGCCGGCGTGAGGGCGGTGACCTTCGTGAGCGCTTCGGAATTGACGATGGGTTTCCGATCGGAGTTCTGTATAAGGAAGTTTTGTCAGAGAACATGTGTATGATGATTGATTGGCTGTCTTTCTTTCTTTCTCCTTTTTCTTTCGTTTTCTTTTTGTTGGTTGAACCCCTCATTCCGCGGGCTCTACAACATCGTCGATCGCAAACGTGCGACTCCAATCAAAAACTGGTATCAAGGAAGAACGCACCATTCTCCGACAACTCCTTGCCTAGGGAGAATCGCCTGTTGGAAGGCCGCAAGATGCTCACGCGGCGGCCAGAGAACGACATGTTTGCTGCTTGGCAACAATATCAAAGTTGATACGGAGGATAAAAATAGTCTAGCAGATTGATGCGTTTCTTGGCTTTCTCGTAAGTATAAAACCAATGATGCCAAGGATGCGTGCGATCTATACGTAGAAGAAAAGGAAAGCAAAGGGGGAAAAGAAAAGAGACGTCAAAGTAGGTGACAGTCTGCCAGGGTATCGACCGCGTCAAGCGCTGTTAAATATGACATGAGAGAAAAAGAAAGAGCACACGGCAAGCTGAATGGTTTTTTAAGGCTCTCTCTCTCAGGCATCACTCTCACCCTCCTCTTGTTTTGTCACCTCCAATTTTGACTTTGGAGAATCAGCCCAACCCCAAAGTACTAACATTCGAACCAATGACAGAAAAGGATGGGTGAAATTATATCCCGCACTTGATAATCCCTCAATATAAAACAAAACCATACATGACTACTAACTAGTCCGAAGGCCGTTGGGCTCCTATTCGCCTCTGGAGGGTCGATCACCGTCAGCCCTGAACGCGCATCCCTTGAACAAAGATTGGAAATGCCTCATGAACCAACAGTATTGCCCCTTATCCCGTGGCTACTGTTACTATTATTATTCCCAGCTTACTTCCAGTCTTCAACGGCAGAGTATCGGCACGGAAGTCCGTTTCGATCGGATCTGAAAAAGCGGTCGAGATGCCGACGGTCTGGATTGGGTCCCGACCAGGGGGGGCAGAAGCCGGTGGGGCTCCTTCGGATTCCATCCGATGGGTGGCTATAGTTACTCCTTATATCTACCTTAACAGAGTACTTATGTACGGATCGAACGGAGAGTGCTTGCCTCACTTATCCTGAGGTAATTAACTTATATAATTATAGAATTCGCCTAGTCTATACCAATCTACCCAACCCGAGCCGAAACACAGAAAGCCCAACACAAAATAGCGCTCAAACTCGCGACCAAGTCTAACAGAAGAGCCAGCCTTGGGAATACAAGTTCACTATACATCTCATCTCTTATAAACTGGAAACTGGTCTGTTCGATGGAACAGCGGTATACGTACATCATGCAGTCATTGCCCGCGGATAGGGACGGAAGGGGCCCGAACAAGAATAAACAAAAGTCAGTCGTCATAAGCATCTCACCCGACAAGAGAGCTCCGGATAAATGCACATGGTCAGGGTGAAGATAAACATAAATCGGCTTCCGGTAAAACACCCCAAAGAGGTTGTGTAAGAAAGGAAGAAAAATGAAGAGAATAGAAAGAGAAAGAGAGAAAAAGGGAAACAAAGTATGAAGGAAAAACGAAACCAGCCCTTTCTCTTCCCCTTTGTTCGTGGATGAAACAATGGCTTCTCAATAATCTCAAGCCAATCCAGTTGGAAATGAGTTGCAGAGAACCTGATGACAACGCCAGCAACTTCTTAAATAGACGCCCCTTCTTTTCCTTCCATCTCCGTAGACAACCAGAGCGAAAGGGGGAATTTCAAACAGCAAAACAAAAAGCGGAAAATAATAATAAGTAAAATGAAGAAGATGAGAAGAGAAAAAGAGTATAGTAAAAACATGATAAAGAGCGCGCCACCTCGTCTATAATGCGTTTAGTTCTCGACTGCTTGGCAATAGAGTTGAATCTCTCCAACTTGGCCTCTGGAAAGCATGTCACGGTGTTGCTCCCGCCATTCCATAAACGCCAATTGGACGGCCTCGTCGCTGTCAATGGTGACGAAATCTCCATCCTCATCGCGGTAACGTAACCTGACCGACTTGCTACCTATGGATCGATTGGTAAACCGGGCCAATTTCGCATCCACTCGGTCTGTGAGGGAACGGAACATGATGTTGCTGGCAATCACTAGAGTAACGTAGTTATCATCGAAATTAACCTTCGCTTTAAGTTGGGTCGGCATGAGAGATTCCTCCTCTGGTTCTTGGCTCAGCGGGGATGTGGGCTGATCTGACACAGGCTGATTCATTCGAGATTCAGAGTACTGGGGCTCATGGAAATGCGTGGGTTGTCCATTGGGAACATTTCCATTTCGGCTAGGCAGCGTGGTATTGGTTGGTGAATTGGCTTGACTTCTATTAACAGGCGCTTCATGCTAGCCATATGAGCAGGGATCGGTGGAACGGGAACGTTGTCAACCGTCTGCATTGTGTGTGCGCCCATGTACCGACGCGATTCAGGGTTGTGGTGATGTATATCCGGGCTACTCGCAGAACGCATCCGCTGTGCCATGCCATTAGAAGTGCCAGACATAGGAGGTAGTGAAGGGCGCTGAGCGCCTCGCCCATTGGGTGCACCGCTGAAGTAGGGATTCGAGTTCGAGCCATCTCTAGAAACGCCACGAGATAATGCAGGAGCGGTATACCGATTGGGCTCTTCGTTCCATGTACTACCTGGAGTCGGCTGACGGCCGTACGAATAACCAGCAGTAGACTGCGAGCTTGACCTTGTGGATGGGGTTTCGGCAACAGGCGAAAAGTAAGAGTTAGTGTTTCGCTCGGCTGGCGACATACTACCACCAGGGAACTGTGTATGCACAGAAAGGTTCGGGTCTGGCATAGGGAAGCGAAACTTGTTTGACAGGGGCGGGCCAGAACCACCACTACCACCGGTTGCGGATCGCGTCCGGAGACTAGTGCTAGATGCATTCCGACTCATAGGAAATTCGGAGAAGAAGCCAGCCTCCTTAGTTGCCTGTTCATCGGCATCATGTTCAAGGTACGGATTGGGCATGTTCGCCATATTCCTCATGTACGTAAATTCTGTCTCAGATGTACCGGTATTCCGTGCGCTGCGGTGTTCTGCTTGAATTGCACGTTGATTATCAATGTCCCTGTACCATTTGCGCATGGCGTCTTCATTTTGGTAGCGTATGATAAAGTTGTCCACTACGCCTGGATCACCTTTCCAAAAGATTTGAATACGATAAGAACCTGTGAAACAGTGTCAACCCAGCACAAGTGTTGTTGAGAACCAAAGACAGCCCCGTACCTGGTTTCTGATAGCAAGCTATATCCGTCACGTTTGCCATGTAAATGCGACCCTTGAGCTGCAAGCGTGGTTTTCCTTTCACAGTAGCAGATGGCTTATCTTTACCGACCATCAATTTCGTTTTCTGTTTGTTCGGATTGATATCCTTGCAGCAAAGAAGGATGCGTTCGAAAAGGTAGATGTGATACTAGACGCGGAGGAAGTAAAAGTCAGCAATCATGTGCTCCACAGTGGAATCTTGTCTAATCTTAGCCCCCAAAGAGGTCTTTAATGTTACTTTCAGGCACGTAAGCTTGACCAGATGATGAGGAGCGTGGTGTTCTGATTTGTGGGTATGGATGTAGCCATCTTATCAGGCAGAAGAAGTCATAGTAGAGCAGCATGGGCAGGATTAATAGAGCTCGTGGGTCGGAAATATCAAAAGAGTGTCTGGGAGGGAACAAACCTCTCTTTCTGAATCCTTGCCATTGTCTCCCTTCAAAACAGTGAATGTACCGAAACGAAGCAAGTCACCAAACGATTCTATTTTAAGCGACTTCCAATCGTCTACTCGTTCGTCTAGCTCTGTGAATGCCGAAGCCAGGTGTTCTTTGTCAATAGCATCGTTTGCGGAATCAAGGACAGACTGAATGGAGTCGATGGCACGGGTAATGTCCGTCTGCAACTCGGGGTTTTCAGTCTGCTTACGAAGTTCCTGGAAAACAAATTTAGTACAGCGCTACCTACGATGGCTCTGAGGACGACATGAAGTACTTACGGAAAGCATCAAAGGATATTTAGTGAGCCGCTGGAAAGGCTTCACAAAGAACCCATTGAGTGTTGAGGGTTGGGCCACCATCTGCTTCAAGTCAACAGTCCTCGGAGCTGTATGGATTCTGTCCCATTCCTTCAGGCAGACTTCGTCGCAACGCATTTGGTTCGCGATAAACGGTTCATACTGCCGGAAAGCATCCTCGTGTTGGATAAACAACTCGCCCCAGTTTTGCCTCTCCTCCGGCAAGGCATAATGTTGCTCAATCCGAATTAAGAATCGTTGGGCGAAATCAAGGAGATTGTTCAAATTCAAAAAGATCTGATGGCTAGGGTCGCCGGTAAGAGCCCCTGTCTCCTCTAACTCTTTCTTCAGAGCTTGTAGATTTTGAAGATGGTGAACATAGTCGCGCTCCGTCTCCAACAACTCCTTAAGAATGTGCTCCCTCTTGGTAAGTTTCACAGTTCCTTTTTCCGGGGCGCGGGATGAGACATCGGACGTTCGTTTCAGCTGACCCTGCATTTCTAGAATGTCCAACACACGGTTCACCATTTTGATCACTTTGATAAAACCAGTTGTACTCTCGCCATACAAGTCGGTGATAAGGAAGCAGTCTTGTTGAGGAAAGCCCAACTCTTTCAGAGATGCCTGTAGGAATTTGAAGGTGGCAGCCTTGGGACGTTTTGCTTCGGGGACCTTTTCAGGATCGACCTCGAGGACCTCTTCAGGGCTTGAGGCGTTGTAGATGGTCAACAAGGGGTATCCTTCCCGGAGGCAATTCCATAGCGACGCCACAGGGTCGGTGTTTCCTTGGGCGAGATCCTCTTCATCCATCTCTCGTAAATGCGATTCGAATGTCGGGAGTTCTGCGAGGCGCTTTTTGAGATTGACGCAGCTTTGATAGATCGACTCACCGCCGCGGCGGTTGATGATATTGTCCTCGGCGATAGGACCGCTTGTCATGACTGCGGTCTCCGCCATTTCGACTGACGGTCGACTGGGACCGTGCGGGGAAACACCGACAGCTGTATGGGGAAGATGGTTCAAATCTGCGCAGCAGACCAACGAAGGAAGCGAGTGGACAGAGACGATAGATGTGGTTGTACAAGAATCACGTCGAGCATGGATTACAGACTGCGAGCCGGTGGACCGATGCGGGATGGATGGCGCAAGCGAGCAGCTAAGGAGTGAGTGGAGATAGTGGTACGTTAACTATCCCTAAAGCTGAGTCAAACGACGGTTCCGTGTCTCGACCTTCAGTAGGTTTGGTTTTAGAAAAACGGAAAAAAAAAAAAAGAATCAAATGTATAAATACCCTAGTCAAGGGGGATCGAGCGATTGTCTGTTCTTTTCTAAATTTTCTTTGGGGTTTCTTTTTTTGCTTTTTTTTTGACCTTCTTTTTTTTTTCACTCGAAGGTCAAAATTTCTGGCCCTTGCTGGCAACAGCCTCCAAAGACCGGGAAATTTGGGAGGGTTCAAAGATAGAAAGGGTGAGTGTGGGGTTTGCCGCTGCAACCAGGCAAGCGTAATAGAAAATCAGAAGGAAAGGATCAAGAACCGTCTTCTGGTGTAAGGCTTGTAGTTAAATAGTAAAAAAAATGGGAAACAGTCAACAAGGAGTGCAAGGCGCAGAGGAGAGAGAGGCAAAAAAGAAAGAAAGAACCATCAAGATCGATCAGTATGAAGGATGGCAAGAGAAAGGAGACATAGGAGGGAGGAAGAAGAGGGAGCGAACGAGCGAGAAAGAGAGTGAGAGTCCAGGCCACCAGCCAGTAAAGAAGTGATGTAGTTCACTTGCTAGATCGGGGTAGCGCGCGTCAGGCTCCTTAACTTGGCTGGTGAATGTTCAATTGGTTCAGTGGTTGAAAGGGGGCATAAGGGGAGAGAGAGGGGGGGCACAAGAGATGGTGGAGTGGAGGGGCCTAAGGGCATCTGAACTTACTACTACAAGTACTAAGTACTAACTAGTAGTACTCCGTAGTATTATTTCCCTCTACTGTAGTCTAGTGCCCAAGTCAGTTAGTCTGCTGTACGACGGGAAGTATGTATGTTGTTGTATCTACTGGGAATGTATGTACAGGATGAAGTATACTGCATAACTTCCAACAGTAGTTGTTAGGTTTAGCACATATTTCAACCTCTTCCTGACCGGTAGGATCCTTGTTCACATACATAAAGCACATTAATAATAGAACAGGGGGGCTAAATATGACCTTGAGGTCTTATCAGCCCCCTGGAATGGAAAGAAATCATTGGTATGGTGGGTGAATTTCAAACTTGAGACCACTGCAAAAGCCGGGGTTGGGTTAACAACCCCATTCCTTGACTGAAATCTTCCCAGGTTTCCAAATGACCGACAGTAGTGGCTGGGGGCATGGATATCGGATGCACATCAGGTTGCATGAAGACTCATCTCTTACATGAAGTGTTTGAGATTTTGACTAGTCTGAACTAGCGCGATAATTAGGCACGGGTCATATTATGATTTCCCCTGCTGAAGTATCAACCACTTTTGGGTCCATTTATTATGAAGTGGGGGTTCAGTCAGTAAACAAGACTTTCTATAGCCGCTGTCATCAGAAGTTGTTCAACCCTGGTATGATAATACTACACCTCCAACAGGATGTCTTCTTCCTCCTTTTGTTTTTGTTTTTAAATATTTATTTGCCTATTTTTCTTTAATTTTCAAATTCGTTTTTATATAAAAAAAAATTGAATGAATAGATAATAGTAATTATAAATGTATAATCTTCCTCAACCCCTGCAGAATGGGGCAAGGAAGGGGACGTCGGGGCGAGATGAAGGAATATAAATAGAATAAAATAAAATTGAATGATTATACCTTTTGTTCAGCCCTAACCTATTGGAAAGCCTATCTTTCAGACCCAACTAGAATATTCATGTGAACCACCAGACAAGTTAGTAGCACCTCTACCTTTTACAATTGACTATACATCACAGGAAAATTCAGTACTGAGCTAAAAATGCCAACAAACAACAGTAAACCCGATAGAAACCCCGTTGGTTCCCAGGCCTATGGAGTACTATCAGAATGATGGCGTGGATGTCTCAAGAGTTAAATTGATCTTCTTCACTTCTGACAGTGGCTTATTTCTACCAAAAGAGCAGTTTTTGGGTGCTGTTTACCCTTATGAGACCATAACAGTCTATCTGACTCAAGCTATATATATACAGCAAGCAATAGCAACCAGAGTGATATCGTCCCTCACCCGCCAGGTGTGAGTGTTAGTAGAAAGTAGGATATGAGGTTGGTCGGGACAGGTGCTCTTCAGACAAAGTAGAACACCTATTCAATAAATCTAGCCTTGCAGGAACATGTGGCCGTGAGCCGGACAGGTTTGGACACCAAGGGGCAGTTAGACTACTACCCAGTTATCTCCTCATATAGTAAATAGGTAGGTATACAGGTATCATATGTAGTCATTAATTGATTGCTTGGTTTAGCTGTTGCTGACTCAGCCCTATACATTCCTTGGGTTTCTCCAGATAATCCGGATGGAACCTGGGACAAGCACATTGTAACCGTTGCTTGCTATTTCTTTCTTGTTTTAATCTATACTACACAATACTATATCCCCTATGCTCTCGTCAGCAACTCCAGAAAGGGTATACACACTACGGGGTAGTCTCAGGGAACTTAGCTGTTTCAAGTAATGATAGTCTACTCCGTAACGGAGCTCTACGTCGGCTATGGATCAAAATGAGATTGCGCCATGGCTCCTACACAACCAATCCACAAGGTTATGTGGAACAAAGAAGGTCGTCAAATCGAAATTCTTTTACAGATTGCTCTCGAACCATTCTTGACAGCTGACAATGGTACCAAAGTAATCGAGTCCAACTCTCGGCTAAAGTCGAACAAGCAATGGCCGACAAAATCGGACCTGTGAAAGGGCTTAGGACATACTAGTGTATCATCAAGGAGGACGATGAGGGTGATATCCTCAAATCTAGCAAGTTCTCACTGCTACAAGAAAGCATGCAAGTTGTATTACTGGATGCTTGAACCCTTGGCCCGGGTTCTGAGAGGCTTGGCTGTGACATATATGTTCAGGTTCAGGTTCCTCGGTGTAAGTAGCTGCAGTGTTGAAGGGATACCGCTGCACGTCACTGGGGGGAAAGTCTGAAGTAGTACGTGTATCTATAATCAGGATAATACTGACCAGAGAGGTTACCTGGATGTTCTAGATACAGTACAGCGGTACAGAAAGTGGAGGATTATCTTGCTTAAGTGAGGAAGAGGATACTAGTATGTATGTAATGTTTGCTTCCTTCCTGGCTTGGTAAACACTACTACCCCGGCGGTACGCAAAGAAAACTAAAAATCTGACGTGACCCGTACCGTACTTGGAAGAAACAAACAACAACCTGTGTAAGTCTGACTAAACCCGGTTGGGTATCGATAGTCAGTCATCTATCAATCCACCACCAACGCTCTCTGACGACAGTCCTTCCTCAATATGGCGTTCAATCACCGTCTTTAAGGCCCTTCAATGCTGAGCTGCGATATAAATATCGTCCATGCTTGTTCTTGAACGCGTGAAGCGGTCTACTTACAGGGACACAGGCAGTCCGATATTCTTTTGTTTTGCTGCCAAGTAAGAAGACAAACATCAGCTAAGCTTCGCGCCGACTGAGCTGAGGCTTGGGCCAACCCCCGTGTCAGTTGAGCAACAAAGGTGGATCTGACTGCTGCATCTCGACTCTCTTGTTACAGTGACGAAAGAACTCATGGCTGGGGAGACTACCGCCCCCAATTATTCCCCCGACCTCACCGCCCCCTCATTATCTGCACCTTACAGACTAGACGAGGGTTACTCAGACGAGACCAGAAGTCAGGTGGACAAGGAACTTGCGGAGCTGCCCTCGGATGATGTGATGCCTCTTCCCGATTGGCTTCTAGCTAATAGCGAAGAATATAGCTGGTGCGTTGAACTTTCCCGCCAGCCAGCGCCGTTTGCGTGTTTGGACGGCCAGGCTGATGACTTCTGCCTTTTGTTTGTGGGGCGTTTATGCTTACGATTCATTATGTATAGAGATTGCCTACAGTTTATTACGCACACTACCCACTTCTACCGTGGCCGCAGTTGTCGACCGCCTTGCGCCTGTGTTGCACATGGATCCCGTTGTCAAACTACCCCCCGAGATCACCTCCGAGATCTTCTCCTACCTTGACCCTAAGACTCTCTTGACAGCTTTATTGGCATCTCGCGCCTGGCGGGACCGTATAATTGACTCGGGTCTGTGGCGAGGGAAATACATCGATGAAGGCTGGCGCGTCGATATCGATGCAATCCGTTCATTCGAGGAAAGGCAATCCAAACTTTCGTCCCCTTGTCTTCGTAAATCCCGATTAAGGAACGCCGATACAGATATCGGAGAACCGAAGAATAAGAAACGAGTACCTCCAAGCTGGTTAGACTCGCGAACGACGGGATATGTGGGCAGTTACATAATCGGGCGGCAAGATGGACAACAAACCTCTACGGAGGCTGACACTGAGGGTGACCATCTCATGAGCGATGTCGCAAATGACCAGAGCGAGTCAACTTCCTCTGGGCACCAGTTAGACTCGAACAACATTCGAGAGACTCAGACAGACCTCTCTCGCACCACGCATGGACCCACGCCCTCATCAGTTCACTCGTCCCCAAAATCATCTATTTTGCTACGGATGCCTAACGGTGGTGCTAGAATTAACTGGCTTCATCTCTATAAGCAACGTAGACGCTTGGAAGAGAATTGGAATAGAGGTCGCCTTACGAAATTCCAGATTCCCCACCCTGAGCACTTGGCGGAGTGCCACAAAGAGTGTATTTATTCAATCCAATTTTGGGGGAATTGGCTGGTGAGTGGTAGTCGAGATAGGACTGTCCGAGTTTGGAACATAGATACGCAGAGACTGCGTTATCGTCCTCTTGTGGGCCACTCCAAATCGGTGCTCTGTCTCCAATTCGATCCTCGACCTTCTGAAGACATTATTATGACTGGGAGTAGCGACAAGAGCGTCATTATATGGCGGTTTTCCACCGGTGAGAAACTCAAAGAGATTGCACCGGCGCATCAGGACTCCGTGTTAAACCTCAGATTCGATGAGCGTTATCTTGTTACATGTTCCAAAGATAGGCTGATAAAGGTTTGGAATCGGCGTGAGCTCATGCCCGGTGACAAGGACTATCCTGTGATCCATCATGGGTCTGGGGCTATATTTCCAGCGCACATCGTTGATATAAATGAGCTTCCTTCCCCTATTACAGAAACCGAGCTAGCCAAACGTCACATACGCAGCCTAGCTCCGTATTCTCACTTGATGACAATCGCAGGGCACGGGGCTGCAGTTAATGCTATCCAGATAAGCGAAGATGAGATTATTTCCGCCTCAGGTGACCGGTTAATCAAGATCTGGAACATCCGCAGTGGTATCTGCAAGAAGACCCTTGTGGGCCATGAGAAAGGTATCGCATGCGTCCAGTTTGATGGCCGGCGTATCATCAGCGGAAGCAACGATGACTCCGTTCGTATCTTCGATCACAGCTCGGGTGCGGAGGTTGCTTGTTTATCTGGTCATGCCGACTTAGTAAGGACCGTCCAAGCCGGCTTTGGTGACCCACCAGGAGCCGAAGAGGCTATGAAGTTGGAAGCTCTGGCCGTTGATAGCGAGTTCCTCGATGCTCGGCGCTCCGATGAAGCTGTAGATTATGGACCAAGGGCTCTTAGGCGTGCCGGCCACCGCCAGAACACGGCCGGTTCCAGAAACCCAAAGGACATTAAGGCTTTGGGTGCCCATATCCCACCGGGAGGAGGCGGAAGTAAATGGGCTAGGATTGTTTCGGGTTCCTATGACGAATTAGTGCTTGTTTGGAAGAAGGACAGAGATGGCGCCTGGGTCGTCGGCCAACCACTGTCTCACGTGAAAACTTTGAAGCAAATCAATGGAGAGGATACTGATGATGAAACTCCTCCTCCTCGTGGACCACGGAACGCCTTTGCCCAGCAAGCTCAGAGAAATCGACCTACCAACCCGGGTGCCGTCCCAGCAACAAACCAGCCTTTCAACCCTCAGCTTCAACAGCACCCACCAGTTGTGCAGGCCCCAGGAGCGGCGCTTCACCATCACCATCATCACGCAGCGCGGAACCAACAAGCCCGTGGAAATAACAATAATAACAATAACAACAACAATGGCAACAATCCGCCATCCTCTAGGGTCTTTAAGGTCCAATTCGACGCGCGGAAAATTGTCTGTGCCACACAGGACCCAAGGATAGTGGTATGGGACTTTGCAGACAACGACGAAGAGATAAAAGAAGCTTCTCAGTTCTTCACGGGGCTTTAATAATTCACTTCGTTTTTTTTAAGGACTTCTGCATATACCGCTACCGACATCATGTCGGTCTTGTCGCTTTCATTCTCCATTCTATATTAGCATCCTTTCTCTTTCTTCTCCCATTCTTCTTGGTCTTTATTTAGCCCAATTGGATATTGTTGCCGATGTTCAGTATTGTATGTGAATATTAGGGTCTACGATCTCTTCGGAAATTTTCTGAACTCATCATGGGCGTCATATGGAATGTCTTTGAACTCATGGTTTATTCTCTAACGCCTATCGTTTCCGAGCATTATTGCATTGAGGAGTAACGGAGTTGACCGGTTCATGTCTTTGCAGTATCAGGTATGGAAACTCGTATGATTAGCCTTCAAGCCATGGGTTCCTTAGTTAAGAATATAGTAAAAAGGTGGCGTAGAAGCCTCCTTTTCTTTCATCGAATGAACACGATCAACCACGGCTCTCTAAAGGGCTACCTCATGAAGAAGAGTAACAATAGTGGATCCTGATGAATACAGACCAGCGTAATCCAATATCCGCAAGGTTTTTTATGGCAGTGAAAAAAGATTCCCGAGTGAACCATGTGGTTCATACAACGCCTGATATCCAAAACCGCAAATCGTGTCAGCGTTTAAAGAGGCTCCTGGGTCTGTTCTAACCATGTGGAGGATCCATAATTACGAGAGGAGATAAAAGCTCGAAACGACGTCCACATGTTTGAGCAGTAATGCCCAAACTCCTGCGCCGTGCCCTTCCTGTCATGCGAATGAGTCGTGCTGTCGTACGAGACCCGGCTCCTTGCAGTAGCATATGTGTCATCAGAAGTAGTGTTCACACATACAATAGTATCCTGTTCATTTCTGCCTCCCACACAACAGCAAAAATAAGAGTTAACAATGTTTGAGGCCTGTAACCAACGGCCATGTTGCCCCTCAAGCATGACACATCCTTCATGGATAGAAGGTTCCGCTGTTGATCGTGTTTGTGTGAGGGAGCAACCGGAGGGTTCGGAAGCTAGTATAGCAGGCATGTCCACCACCAAAGTCCTCCTAGCCCCTGGTTCTAAGGCGTGTCTGTCCGCGGGGTTAGAGGTTGTTGTTGCTGATTGAGTAGTCACCGAGCAGCTCGGCCCGGGTGAGATACTGCTTGATATGTATTGTGGACGAGGAACTGGTAAGTGGTTTCCTGGGCGAGTTGAGTTCTGCCGTTTGATATGGGAGTAATGCTCTGTGTCTGATGGCCGAGTTTGAACAGCGGCATCACCACCATCACCACCCTCGTCAATGCCACCACACTGAGCCATAGAAAGGTTCCTTCGATGGAATGGATGGTCGTGTAATCTACCATTCGCACCGACTCCATGAGCACTATGCCTATGGGGGAAGCGCCCTTGGACCACAGTGCTATCAACTGGCCTCACAACAGCGCATCCTCGCCTATTAGGCCGAAAGGCAGAGGATGAGGAGATACCAAAGAATCTTCGAAGTGACTCTCCGTAGGATTCGACTCTATTACCATCAGCAGCATTACTACAACGGCCACGTTGCTGGGATTGCCCATTGCCAGGTGCTAAATGGACAGGAAATCGCGCAGAGGAACGGACAGCCTCTTCGCTGCCAAAAGATGGAAGTCCCGGAGGTGTGGGCATCCTTACCGGTGGTGGGTACGTGGGTAGAATAGGACTCGCAGGGGACGCTACACTTCCCAGCCACATGGAAGCTTTCACGTTTGCATCTGCATCATTGACACTTGCCGTTTTGTGGTGTCGCCGTTGGTCGAACCGGTCTTCTGGCGACTCTGGAATTGGCACGCTTACTCGTTGTCGGTCATTTTTCGGCGACAATATATGGCATTGGGATGTATTTGGCTTTGATAGATTACCTGCCGTGTACTCGGACATGGGAGCGACAAACATTGCCATGTTTGCTGCCATTCTGCTATTCAGAGTACAACTCGACCTAGGCACAAGGTCTTCCAACCCCGAGCTTGCCCTTGCGGCATTGTATATCGAGCTTGCATCGCTTAGACTCGACCCAGATGACTCTCTGGTCGAGGCTGGGTGGGATATCGCTCTGTTTTGCCGCGGGACAGAGTCCGGGGTGGTTAAAGGAGAGCGACATCGCAGATCCATTCTGAGGCGTGACAGATCTGAGAACTGGCATAGGATTAGTCGAAGTGTAGTCAACGAAGGGCGCATATTGACCTATGAGCACGGAGTTCGAAATGTCACCGTACTTTCCAACCTTGCTAAGAATCCAATTGAGAAAGAGCAGCAATGAAGTGAATTGGAGGGAAAGAACTACCTTTGGTCGTCAGATAGAGACAAGCCGAAATTATCGCTCCAAACATTAGTGGTAAATATGTGCCGAAGTAAGTATTTCTGTGGCCCTTTAGATTCCGCACCATAGGATGTACGAGCATCGTTGAATATGAGGAACTGCTTCTGACAAAACCAAGAATTGCGATGAATCGTAGGATAGTCACCAAGTCCATTGTGCGCACTTCGAAGAGTAGATATACATTTAACAAGTCCCTTAGAATATAAACAACATGCGGGATCATAAATGGTCCAATATATACCCAGAATTAATAAACATTAATATGTACGATGAAGAGAATATCAGTAAGATGAAGTGACCTCAACTGAAATAATTGGGTGGCTTGAGAATTAACAAGGAGAAGTTTAGGATATCATCATCATCGTCATAAAGCCGTGACGGTCTGATTCGGGCCAGCTTTGCTGGCTTGCTCCCTTTTCAGATTCCTGAGCAAGGCCTCCAGCCTTCGGCGTTCTTCTTGCTCCGCCTGTACTCAAGTCAGCCCGAGGACCTTGCTAGAGAGGATAACGGTGTACTCACCTTCAGTATCTTCATATTTTCAGTCCGCGTGTCACGCATCATCTTCTTGAACTCGTTCTTCAGCACCATGGTTGATGTGGTCTCGTACGTAGTTCCATCTCGTCCCATCGACGCTGAGTGCATGCCCATCCAAGTGATCCGCTCTTCATTCAATTGCGTCTCCAGTTGCTCACAGCGATCCCGAAGCGCGTCAATGAGGCTCTCGAACTTCTCGCGTTCTTTTTCAAATTCGATACTAGCTTTGGTCATGACTTCATAGTCATCAATCGTCTCACGCAGCTCCTTCTCTAATGTCTCTACACGCCGCTGTGTGTCGCTGTTTGCAGGCTTACCAGCCTTGAAAGTTGCAAGCTCCTGCGCCAGCTCGATATTACGGGTGGTCAACACCTCGAGCTCTTTTTGAAGGACGGGGTCGACAGCGGCTGCCCGTTGAGACCGGCTACCATAAGCACCATCGAGCTCAGCCTGGGCCATTGTAAGCTCAGTTCGAACCCTCACAACTTCGCCTTCGAGCTCGGTTAATTCCGCTTGCAAGCGTGCCGCATTCTCCTCAGCTTCTGCCCGAGTTTTGGTTGCCTCGCTGAGCTGAGACTCCACGTCGGTGCGTATTTGTTCTATCAAGGTTTGCAACCGAGTAACTTCATCCTCGGCCTGTGTGCGCGAGTCCGTGGCTTCCTTCAGCCGGGCGTCAGTTTCAGTACGGATTTGCTGGATACTCTCCTCCAGACTCGAGATCTGTTTTGCTGATCGCTCACGGGATTCCGTGACCTCCTCTGCCTTTACATCGACCTCGCCACGAAGGTGATCGATCACAGTTCGTAAGCGCGCGATCTCGCTATCTGCTTCGGAGCGCACCGCAGACAGTTGCTCTGTGTGACCGTTGGACTCGGATCGAATCTGTTCGAGTTGAGATTCTAAACGGGCAACTTCGGTCTCGGCACGGACGCGTGCCTCATGGGCTTCCGCTTGAGTCGCATTTTCTTGTTGAAGTTCTTGCATGATGGCCTGCAAGCGGGTGTTTTCAGCTTCAGCGCGAAGGCGTGCTTCATGAGTCTCGGTGTGAGCATCTTTCTCGCGCTGGTGCTCTTGGATGACGGTTTGCAAACGTGCGATTTCAGCTTCAGCGTGAAGGCGTGCTTCAT